TATAACTTTCTTTGTATTTATTCTTGGTGTTTTCATGTCACGTATCTTCATCCCATTTATTTTACTGTTCCTTCGATTCTGCCCTCTGTCCTTGCAACCTCTCCTTCCCCGCCAAAAAAGAAAAATAAATAGATAAATAAAATTTAAGAGAGGAGAAAAAAACAAGAAGAAAACAAAACAAAAGGGAAAAATCAGTTTTATGGAAGCTATGAGGCCCAGTGAGTCATTCAGTAAACCCTTCCATCCATAAATCTTTACTTGCTATTGTTCATTGCAAAGAGTTATTAGTCTAGTTTGAAGCCTCCAGTTTCTGCTACACTCTCAATGCTGGGCCTTAATTGGAACTCCTCTTAGATGTCCTGTTGTTGTCCTGTGTTATGGAGAACCTGCAGCTTTGTGTCTTCAGGACCAGTCCCTTCGTATTGTCCAGCAGGTCACAGACAGGGAAGATGTTAGGGTGAGCCAAGTCATAACCCTGGCTCTGGGCCTGGACAGATGCAAGGTTGGTCAGGCCACCAGTTCTCCCGTGACCTCAGCACCAAGCTGAGCTCTCCAGCATCACCCTGGCTAATTCAGCCCTTGCAGTGCTGAGCGCTTAAGCGGCCAGGCCAATTCTTCCAGTTTCATGTCCTGGGGTGGGGGTTGGGGTCAGTTAACCCATATCTACACTTTCAGGGTCGGCTCTGCTTTGTTGCCCAGGCTTGGTGTAGGGGCCACTCTCCCTAGTGCTGCTCCTATAGATTTAGGAAGATGGGGAGCTTTAGCATGGCCATAATGTAACATGAGTTAGTTTTGTTGTAAGTAGCCTGCACTCTTTCCAGATGGCAACATGGGCCAAAAGGATATGAAAAACGTATTTGCAGTCTGTGTAAATGTTTAGGGGCTGTCCTTGTGCTAATTGGAAGTCACAGGTGAGAACTATTTATTCAGCCTGTTGGTTAGTAGCGTGGGCAGGGGATGCCTATGCTTCTACCACCCCAGTATCTAACACTATGGCATAGCCTACGTTTCAGGTTCCCTCATGTTAAAAGGAATTGCCATCTGTGTACCAGGTGTAAGTGTCCCGAGGCATAGTCCCTCTTGTATACATGAAGGATGGGGCACTAATTCTTCTAGGGATCAATGCAAGAATGAGATGGGGAGTGGTCAGTGTTGGGCCAAGGAAGAAGATTTTAGATATTGAGGGGTAGGCAAGATTGGAAAGTAAGTTTGGCATCTTCTACTAGTTCCACTTGAAGAGAAAGAACCTGGGAAGGAGTTTGACTTTGTAAGTTTTTATAAGAAGTGGGACAGGTAGGAGAAAGAGGAGGGGAGAGAGGGACACATGAGGGCTTAGGAAGCCTGAGTTAGAGGAAGAACAAAGAAAGACAGCAAGGAAAGAGATACCTTAATAGAGGGAGCTATTATGGACTTAAGGAGAAATCTGGCACTAGGGAAATCTCCAGGAATCCACAAGGATTATCCCAACTAAGAATCTAAGCAATAGTAAAGAGGCTACCTTAAATGCCCTTCCCCTATAATGAAAATGATGATTACTTTAAATGCCATCATAGAGCCTTCATCTAGTAGCTAATAGAAGCAGCAGCAGAAGCAGAGGTTCACAGCTAAGCATTGAGCAGAACTCCTGCTCAATGGGAGGAGTGATGAGCAAAAGGGTCAAGACCAGGCTACAGAAACCCACAGAGACAGCTGACCTGAATAAGGAGGAGCTCATGGACCCCAGACACAGCTGGGGAGGCTGCATAAGACAGAAGCAGGCCTCCTGAATGTGGGTGTCAGTTGGGGGGGTCTATGAGGCCTCTGGCAGTGGAAACAGTATTTATCCCTAGTGCACAAATGAGCTTTGGGAGTTCATTCCCTACGGTGGAATACTCTCTCAGCCTAGATACAATGATGGGGCAGACTTAGATGATCCCCATGGAAAGCCTCCCCCTCCCTGAGGAGTGGCTGGGAGGAGGGATGGGGGCTGGTGGGGGGAATGGGAGGATGAGAAGGAGAGGGAACTGGGATTGGCATGTAAAATGAGATTGTTTCTAATTAAAATAAAAGTTAACTTAAAAAATAAAGAAATGGGACAGGTTGGGGTAGGAGAAGGTTGTTGTAGATGACCCAAAAGTTAGGATTTTGTTGTTGTTGTTGTTTTTGTTTTTTTAATTCACAAATAAGGAGCTCAGCAGCTACTGAAGCACATATGCAGTGTGCCCGTTCCTGGCTGTTTAGGTCTAATTTTTTGACAGGTATGCTACAGGTGCAAAGGAAGCTCCCAGCTGGTGGTGTAGGACTCCAAGGGCATAACCCTCTTTTTCTATTGCATAGAGGTCTGGGAGTTGAAGATCTGGAGCCTGGAGGAGAGCCTTTTGGAGCTTCTAGAAGGGCTGAGTAATGGGATTAAGGAGAGGTTCATGTGAAGATCCAAGGGCTGCCTGATATAAGGGATAAGCTAGGAAAGAAAAAAAAGAGAATCTGGGAATATAAGAAGCCAGCTATTTCTAGGGATAATAAAAATTTCCTCTTTAGTTGTTGGAAGTTGTCTTTTGGGGGCTGCATCAAGAACCAGCTGAGCAGCCCAAAGTTTGTACCTGAGTCAGGGTGTGTGGATGAGGGAAAGGCTAGCTATAGACAATAAAGAAAAGACAGAAACACAGACTAAAATTCAGGAAGACAGATTCAGTTAATACTGAATTGCCCTGAGTTTATTTTTCACAATTCTTATATACCTAAACCAAAAAGGGAAGCATGGTATCATGTATACGGAACAAACAGACTTTCCTTTCTCACTTATTCTACAGGTTCCGTAACCACACCTTAGCTTCAACTTCTTGTTCCCTAGCCTTGAGGTCAGGAGAAGCCACACCTCAGATTCAGGTCTATTGTTATTAGAATAAAACAGACAAACACCCTACTGTGGCCACACCTTTGACCTTTAGGTCTTAGAATTGTTGAGAACAGTTTTGAACTCTCTGCCCTTGTGCCAAGATGAAGTGCAGCCATCTTTTTGGGCACTGACATTTAGTAGAGGGGATTGTGAGAGACTGGATTAGGTGATGGCTTTGTGAGTTGGGGTAATGGTTAGCCCCAAGTAGGTGACATGAGGAATGGACAGTTCGACCTTGGAAGGTGAGACTCTACAGCCATGGATGAACAAAAAATTTAGAAGAGCAGAGGTGTTACTTTGGGTAATTTCTAAGGATGGACTACAAAGTAAAATATCATTCACATATTGTTCGAGTTTAGATTTGGGGAGAGACAGGGAGAGTAGGTCAGAAGCTAGGGCCTGGACAAAATAGATGTGGGCTGTCCCAGAATCCTTGGGGTAGGACAGTCCAGGTGAGCTGTGTGGAAAAGTGAGTATGAGGGTTATTCCAGGTGAAAGCAAAGATATTTTGAGACAGAGCTAAGAGGGATAGAGAAAAAAGCATCATTGGGATCCAGAACTGAGAAATGAGAGGTCCCTAAGAGGACAGTAGAGAGAAAGTTGAAGGGATTAGGCATGATGAGATAGAGGGGGACCACTGCAGGATTAGTGAGCCTGAGATCTTGAACTAGGCAGTAGATTCCTTTATTCCTTTACAAGACTAGGGGCATTAAAAGGAGAGGATGTAGTACAAAGTTATTTGTTTGTTTGTTTGTTTGTTTGTTTGTTTGTTATGAGGTCAGAGATGATAGGTTTAAGTCCCCTAGGCCTCTGGAATGGGAATGGGTACTAGGATTGGGTAACATACTGGGAAGGGGAATGGTTTCTAGCAACAGGGGGAGGGGGGGACTTGGGTGTCCCAGACTTGGGGGTCCACATATGATGCTAGCAGAGGAAATGACATATTGGCACCAGTAGAGTGGGTGGCTAGGAAGAGGAGGAGCTGCTGACAAGTCTGGGGTCAGGCGAATGGGGAGAGCAAAAGAAATAGAAGCTCCTACTTTGGCTAAAAGATCCTTCCCAGTAAGGGCACAACCAAAACTGAGTGAGTGAGAGCAATAACCCTTGAAAATGCAATAGAGTGGTGGGATCTGATGAGGTAGGTAAGGCTGTCCCCCAACCCCAACAAAATAGAAAAACAAGGAGAGGTGGGTCCCCAAGATTCCCTCAGGCAGAGTATGTGACACCTATGTCCAAGAGGAAGGATATGGATCACCCTGAAACCTTGATGTCCACCCTGTGCTCCCTCTCAGAAATGACAGTATTTGGTTCAGGAGAGCCTGGTCCCCTCAGAGATTGAGGGATAGGCGGAGCTTGCTTTAAAGGGGACCCTTTGCATGCAAACAGAGCCTTACACAGCCACACAACCCATGGTGTAACCACACAGCATATGACATAGTGATGTATGGCCATAGGGCCCCTGGGCTGACTAAGTACTTGCCTGAATGCCAACAATGACTGTTGGGGTTATCACTGGCTTAGTCGATTGGTTAGCTGTGATTGGTGGTTTACAGATACTCTCATTTTTCAATGTTATCTTTATAGCCACTTTTTCTAGCCAAGTTGTATTTTGCTGATATCACCAGAAACATGCTGATGAAGTGTGAAGGGAATGAATATCTGTGCCATTTTCCCAGCCCTACTGGAAGTGCCCATGATGGGAAATTGTCATCAAGACCCTGACTGGGCTAGGTTTATTTGAGAGTTTGACTTGGGCTACAGAGTCCTTGAAAAGAAGACTTGCTCATTGCATAGATGATTAAAACAGATGTCAGTCCTGGAAGACTGCCCTTAAGTCTTTCTTCCTTACACCACCTGCTGAACAGAGCTGTTAATGGCGTGGTACCTGGATTCTCTCAGATCAAGAGAGGAAACAGAGAGAAAAGGGTCTAATGCTGTAATGGCCTAGCCTCAGAAGTAACGAACTCTTGCTGGTCGGTAGCTTTGGCCATAGTCATTAGCCTGGGTGTGATACGGAAGGAAATTTCTCAGTGCAGCGTTGGTACAGGTCTTGCAAGTTGTCACAATTCATACTCAACTTTCACAGCAAACACATACTAAAATCAAATTGTCTATAATTTTTACAGGTTAGTTTTTAATCGATTGTATAGATGCAGAAAAGCCCTTTTGACAAAGTTCAACTTCCCATTGAAGTAATCCTGGACCTCTCTTGTCTATACCCTTTGCCTTAGGAGGTGTTTAAATAATCAATTGCTTACAGATAAAATGGTTTTTACTTTCACAGGATTCAGAAGAAAGAGGTTGGCTTGGATTATAAACAACACAGTCCGTTGTTTTGCTATATGAGGACTCTGGAAATCTGTAATGAAGAAGAAAGTGTTAACGTTTGAAAACAGTAGGATGTTTAAAGTTATTTTTATTAACTTGGATGTTTTGATAACATTTGAGTGAGATACTTAAAAACCGAGTGATTTGGGGTTTTGTTTATTTGGTCTCATTTCGTTGCCTTTCAGCAAACTTCCACAATTTTAAAGTACAATACTTCATAAAACTCAGTTACTTCCTCACAGGCCACTAGCACTAAGACCATAGGATAGAGTCTGAATGTGATTATTTGTTTCTTTGTTGGATTTTTGTCCCTATCAGAAATGACTGGGTTGTATCTTTTGTCTTTTGAGACAGTGTCTCAGTATGCAGCTTCAGCTGACCCAGAACTAACAGACCAGGCCAACCTTGAACTCAAAGATATGTACTTGGCCTCTGTGTGTCTAGTTGGAATTAGAGGTGTGAATCATCATGCCTGGCCAGAAATGTTTTTGATGATATGTTGGTATTCTATGTAGTTAAGAAGTATGAGTTGTGTAAAAACAAACAGAAAGGAAGAAGAAGAAGAGGAGGAGGAGGAGGAGAAAAAGCACAAGAAACATATATGGACAATGAGACATACATAATAGCACACAAAAAGCCCATAAAAACAAAGTTGGAAAACATAACACATGAACAAAATATCTGAAAGGTTAGAATAAAGGTGCTCTGACAAAGCATTACAAAACAAACAACAACAGCAACAGAAACACTCTACCATTGAGTACATTTTTTCTTGTTTTGTGTTGGTCAACTACTGCTGGGCATGGGTCTATCCTTAAGTGTGGTTTGTAGGATTTATTGAGGGGAGGGGCATGGATCTGGGATCTGGGAGGAGTTGAAAGAAGGAAAACTGCAATCAGATTACACTGTGTGAAAGAAAATCTGAGTTGACCTAAGCATGGGGGGAGGGGGGGAGTGATGGTAGATGCCATTCTGTATATTTGTTTCTTATACTGGTTAATGAATAAAGCACTGTTGGCCAATAGGAAAGCAAGATAGGTGGGATTAGGAGACAAGGAGGAAAGAGGAAGAGTAAGGGGAGTCAAGATGGAGAGTCTGGAGAGAATAGGAGGCCAGCGGCTCTCCGAAAATGAAAAGCTGTGGATTCCTTCCAGACTAATGTGGTTTGAGCAAGTCAGACCCCCCCCCCCCGAAACAGAGTACCAGGTGATCCTACATTCAAAACAACTAGACAAAGCAGCCTTACAGACTACAGCCAGGATTTCTGCATCTTCTTAGAATCCCCCTTGACAGCGACCTTTACCAGCAGGAAGTAGTTTGGAAGGAACGACGCCCAAATTCCTAAATACTATTTATAAATGTTTGTTTTCATTTAAATGGAGTTAGTTATAAATGGTTAATGATCACAACCAATATCTTTTTAAAGGTAAAAAGGGGATTATGGTATAGATACGAATACTTTGTTTTGGAATGGATTTTCATTTATTGATACAAATTTAAGGTCAATTTTGTGATATATATATTTCTCCTCTTGTTTAGGTATTGTGTTTATATAGCTCATTTAGAAATATAATGTATAATTTAGTATAGATTGTAGATAGTTACATATAATAGTCAAAATTTAAGTTAGGTTTTTACCTATAATAGTCAAAACTTATAGTTAAATGAGTTAGGTTTTCTAGATATACAGAGATGTATTTGAGATGAATAGGCATTCTTCAAACCTTTCAAAGACCTACAGAATATGGCATTTAAAATGGTTTAGGTTTTTTCTTGACAGTGAGACATAAATGCTCCTGGCAACACCACCTGCGTCAGAAAGAAAGATGGACATGGAAGAAACGCGTTATGAAGTTTACTTCCAATATGGCAAGACTAGCCATTTGGACAAGATACTGCTCTTGTCTGGACTGTTTGACTTTATGCTGTATAAACTGGACATGCAGGACCCACAGAAAATTGACTGCTGATTCAAGATGGACATTGCTACAGAGTTCCTGCTTCATGGAAGTGTCTGCCAGACAGTCTGCAGGACACAAAGGAAAGTGACTGACAAACTGCCAATACAAGAAGACAGTTTAAACTTTCCTGCTTTGCTGAAGAGTCTGCCAGAAAGACACACTATGGCCTATGGGCTACAGATGGAAGATTACAAAAGAACTTCAGGTGACTGGCCAGGCAGAGAGTTGTCTCTGTCATTTATAGAATTTATATATTATCCTTCTGTGGTCTTTGAGGGACTTGAAGACAGATAGTTATGGTTATAGTTTTCCTTAGTTAAGCTTAAAGATAAGTTACATATAGGACTTTAGACTCACAAATATAGGATAGATGATAGAATAGTTTCTTTTAATCTTGCTAAATGTTAATGGACTAAATACTGTTAACTGTGATTCTTACTTGATAACTGTTGTGTTATATATTTTGCTATGTTAAGGTTAAAACCCTTCTTTTTATTTAAACAGAAAAGAGGAGATGATGGGAGATGTCATTCTCTATATATGTTTCTCATACTGGTTAATGAATAAAGCACTGTTGGCCAATAGGAAAGGAAGATAGGAGGGACTAGGAGACAAAGAGGAGATAGGAAGTAGGAAGAAGGAGTCAAGATGGAGAGACTGGAGAGAACAGAAGTCCGGGTCCACTCCCTGGTAAGATAAGACCACATGGAGATTAATAGAAATGGATTAATAATTAAGACAGAGCTAGCCTATAAGAAAATAGTACCTGGCCAACAGCATTATATCAAATACAGAGTCTTGGTGTGTTAATTGGGGCTGGCGCGGCAGCGGGACAAGACCAGCGGCAGGAGGAAAAACCTTATTCCTTACAGGGAAGAACATACATTTTGTCACAGTACGATTCTCTAGATTTCATGCTTATGAATGAGAATGTTATCCAAGGACAACATTTATTCAGAAAATAATTGCTGAATATTTGAGGATGCTAAAAAATGGTGGAAACCATTAGAACAATGAAAATGGCCCTGTTCTCTGGACATAACAGTATCTAAGACCACCTGAGTATGCATAGACAAATCTGGTGTTGTCTATTGTCTTACAGTAAGGAAAAGACAATAAAGAGAATTTTCTTGATGTCTCAGGTACACAATTTGATGTTACTTGAACATGAACTTGAATGTTATGGGTGGGACAGTCCTTTTTGCCCTTTGGGATTTTATATATTATCATGCACCACACAAGATATTTGAACTTCTGTGTCTCTGGCAGTGATTCTTCAGTAGTCATAGCTAGGATAAAGTCATAAAAAGTATGCCTCCCCCAAATCCTCAATAGCCAGACACTTACAGATCTTTTGAGGGGGCTGAGCCATCCTCCCACAGCCAGGTATGCCATTCTTCACTATAACGCATTCCAGTCCAGAAATGGTTTTGACTGTTGTTCATAAAACTCTGCTTAGAGGCAGAAAGGACAAGTTAACCAAATCTGAATGTACTCTGAAATCAACTTAAATTTTAAAAGACATTCAGAATGAGATTCACATTGTGGGTTCTCAAACTGAAATGTTTTTGAACTTCTGATCTGGGAGGCATAGTTACATGTCTTAAATTTCTCATTTACCAGGCCACTTTGACTCACACGGAAAAACACTACAAAATCTTGTTTCTTGAAAGGTGAAAATTGTCATAAAGAAAATGAGATCAGTGATTAAACATGACCCCAATGACAGCATCATAGGGGATAATTCTCAGACCTATATCCTCTTCAACCTGAGCAGAATATGGACAGCCTGAGAATTTTTTTCATAAGAAATGAATGATTTCCAAGATGAGTCTGGTGGTTCTGGTCTATAACCCCTAGTGTTTAGGAGACTGAAAAGAATTTTACTGCATTGACCTAGGGGGAGTTTAAAGGGCAGTTTAGGAATATAGCACAGTGGTAGGCATGCTTACTTGGTGTGTGTCAGCCCCTAGGCTTATTTCCATATGAAACACACAATAACAACAATCATAATCTAAATGATTTTATGTTCATATGATTTACTGCTGGCCCTACATTGCATTCCAGAAAGATGGCAAAATAATATATAATACATGCAAGAGATTATGTATTCTGCTCCAATGAAAAATAATTAAGACTCCCTGTGTTGGTTTTTTTTTTTTTTTTTTTTTTGGCATAGTAAAAAATAATAGCCTACTGATTCTAGAAAAGTTAAGAGGGTTGCACAATAGTTCCCTTATACTACACATACTTGAATAATTTTTGTAGACTTTTTAAGAATATTTCAAGGTACAGCAAATTGAGGATCTCAGCAACCATCATTGTCTACCTGCTAATAAAGACCTGCATGAGAGTGGTCAGCTTATGTGGAGCTCATGTCCCTCGGTGAGAAAGAATGTAAGAAGCAAGAAGGAAGTACATGCCATTTCATTTCTGGTTTCGAGCTGAAGAAGACTGGAATTGTTAGAGGCACAGAAATCTCTGCTTTCTTTCCAAGACTTTTCTTCTTTGGAAATGAAATAACAGTTACATTGATAACCAATCCACTTTTCTAGGCAAGCACAGCATTCAGAAACTAAAAGATAAAACACATCATTATAGAGTTCAACTTCTTTGATGCTACTTGACATTCAAAAAAATATTTGCTTGTTATTCATTTTTTTCCTGCAAATACTCCTTCAAAATTTGTTATATGCATCACATTTCTGGATTGCTAATCCAAACCCCTTGCTTCACGGAGAGGGTATTCTAAAGATAGATTCGAAATGAAATCATTTTCTGTCCTTTGTTATGTGTAATGATAGATGTAATGGCAGAGAAGACGAAAGAGTAGCAGTCAGAAGAATGACTTTGAGGTTGTACCCACAGCTGAGGGTTATAATGACCATAGGACTAATTAGCTGAAACCGACTACAGGGAAGGCCCCTACCAAGTCCCTAAGTCAGAGAAGGATACAGTACTTTGAAAGAATTCTTATGTGTTTAAAAAATGAGGATAAGTAAGCCAAATAACTTCAAGATTGACAGTTTATGGGTGGTAATGTGTCCTCCGAATCTCTCTTCCTTAGTAATAAGCATCAAAACACACTGTAGGCACCCAAATCTTCATCACACAAATGACACTAAGTTGAAATAAGAGAAAATTAACTGTATGATAAGAAGATTATAAACTTGAGGAGCATTTGAAAAAGAATATAAAAATAGAGTTTTGGACTATCTCTTGAGGGTAAGTAAGGTTTGTAATTACAGAGATGTCTACACTGTATTCTAAATCAAAAACGTTGAAAGGAAAGAATATAAAAGCAAAATACAAAATCAGATTTGTCTATAGTGTCTATTGTCATTTAATTTTGTTTATTAATTATTCAAGAACACTCCTTAAGAAATATGTATCTGCCATTTGAGGCTGGTATCTTCTCTTTTCCTGAAATTTATGATGATGTTTTGCTAGACTGCGTACCTGGAGTCTTCTCAAAAGCCCCTTCATGAGAAAATCAGCACCCAACTTGGTACAATGAGGCAGGCAGTCACACAACCCTTTAGATGAGGAATATAATAGTTCTTTTTCAGGGCACTGGCGTAGGCTTTCAAATGGAGAGTGGAAACCCTCCTATTCATCTTCCTCCTCTCTTTGGTTTCTAGCCATGACATGAGAAGCTGTGCAACCACACATGCTTCCACTGTGACGCATTGTCTTGGCTTAGGTACAAGACTGACAAGCCTAGCCAACCACAGACCAAAACTTCTAAAACTATGAGGAAAAAGTGAAGGTCTTCTGTATGCAGTGTTTACTTAAAGTACTTCTTAAGTAGGCTGACACAGACAATTCAGGGTAATCTTATTTTCCTTTTACTACAGCACAACACGGTGAGACACTGTTACTGAGTGCAACCGTGCACATGAGAGTGAACTACTCTGTCTTATCCTCTATCAGTCATAAAGCTTGTGAAAAAAAGTAGAACCTACCTTCCTGGAATTCTACAATGGAAGTTGGAGAAGGTATAGTAAATGCTGTAAGACATGAGTAGAGATTTGCTTAGTTTGACGTACATTTATTAAATAAAATACTACATTAGAAAAATTAAATATTTATTATTGAATTAGTTCATCGCGATGTTGATTTTTTTATAGCTATGTCTAGAAACACTTACATTTTTTCATCAAAAATCCCAAAGTAACCATCAGCAAAAGACATTTTATTCCAAAGATCACAGACATCAACCTCCATAGAGCGATCCTAGAAACTAGAAAAATACCAAACACATAGATTAATGACTAACAGATTAAAGCGTGAACACACAGAAGATGAAGTTCTTAAGAAGAGAAAAAAACCCAAATCCTTCCTGGGATGTCTCTCCATAAGACACTGGGGAATGAAAACTTTACTGCAGACCTCCACCCAGCAGCAATCTTTTGATGTGGTGTGCCTTATTCTTTGATGAGGTTATTCATACATATTTTCTACCCCATTAGAACCCTTTACCACTGACTCATTAAATCAGCAGGGACGTTTATCTCTATGGTGAGAATAGCTCAACAAGTAGCCATGATGCACAATGGGCTTGCTAAATAGACATTTTTTTTTCCTTTCAAGAATACCATGGATTAAAAAAAAAATCTGCATTAGAGAAATGATAAAAATGAAAGATTAATCACAATGTTGTTTTCTTACAGCATAAAACTAGTGAGTACCTAACAGGAATCTAACAGAATGGTGTCAAGATCCAGAGTCTGCCATTTATCATATTCCATTTTTGTCAGGAGAATACCATCACAGAATGTGTGTGTTCCAGGTCTGAATGCAGGTCAAGCTCAGACTAGTGGCTTGTAGAGATCTGCAGGAAAATCTGGTGTGGTGGGAGGTCCACCCTGATGTATGGATTGAGGATCTGAATTCTGTTCACCCTGAATTATGATTAAAAAAAAAAAGTAACCTTTGACTTTCTGTTTTCTCAACATTATCATAGTTCATATGTAAAGTCATTTGCTTATTGGATGAAACATTCCAATAGTAGATGATTCTCTCTTTAGAATATTGTCAAAACACAGTGCTTCCATCAACAACAGTGCAAAGTATCAGTGAAAAGACCACAACACAGAAAGAAAATTTATTTATAAAGTGTTGTGTCCTTAATATTTGACGTTCTCTATTCCTGTGCTAGAACTATGGTGCTGACGAGGTAATCAATTTAGTTTCAGTTTCGTTTTGAATTAAAAATAAAAAATCCCTAACTCAGTTAGAAAAGGTTTGCAAGAGGTTTAGCTTGATAAAGTCATGTTCAAGTTTCAAAAATGTGGAATCAAGAAAACAATGACTGCAGAAAGTGTTAAAGCATGGAAAGTCTAAAGGATCCAATGCTGATTATGTACTTTCTGTTTTCTTTGTATTAAAGACGGCCCTGAAATTGCTTAATCTGTGAGACGTCACATCTGGCTATTGTTTTATCATTGCTATGACTGGGCGTACGTACCTGCCATGAGAAGTGATGCTCCAAGGATGATTCAGAGGTGTGTTTATGCTTAAAAATGATGTGGATCCCAGAGCTGAGCAGGAAGCTGAGGAAGAGACAAGCATTAGAAGAGGCAAGGACATTGTGTGTTGAAGTGATGCTCTTGAATCATCTGTTGGTGGTACACGGATGCACAGTAGGAATATGAGCAGAAGTGAGGCCGCAAGCCTCTACCATGACCCAGGAACCACAGCACAGGAAATTCTCTCTGTAAGTTTGTGACAAAACAACAGAGCAAAAGGAGATAGGAGAGAGCTTGTTTTCAGTGTGTGAACATCAAAGCTGTCTCTAAAAATCTGTGCAGGCGAATTATCACCAGGCTAATCTTTATTAACATTTCTCAGAATTTGATACAGTTCAGTGACACTGGCTTTAAGGCAAGGAAATAGGGACAGTGTTATCTGTCCCACTTTTCAGAATCGCCTAAACATTGCAAAAATCCTACTCAAGCGACTGGTTAAGAGAAAGAACAATTGCAATTGTGTTCTGCCTTCTCCCTGTGATACCAGGCCCCCTCCCACCCCAATTCCTTATATATATTCCAAATAAACTTTGTACCCAAAACTTTTCTCAGTACTTAAACACCGAAACTGATGCTCAGCAGATACTGAGCTTGACTGTATCTGTTTCAGACAGTTGCCTATTCTTCTAAGCATTCATTCCCATCCCTCTGCCTCCCCCAACTCTTTCGTCCACTGCCATTTCTCTTGTGTACAAGTCATCCAGAAACTCTTCTCTTCTGCTTTGTTCGTGAGTGGACTGAATAGATTCTGTGGTCAGTGGATAAGAAACTCTGGGAACATCATGAATGAAGGTTCCATGGTCAACCCTGAAGCTCCACTTAGATAAGAATGGATAGCAACAATCATCTCAAGGAGATGCTGATAAACAAGGATACAGCATGGCAAACAGATGACCCCCCCCCCCCGATGGCACTTCCTGGAATTTCCTTGTTTAGCTTCTTGTGCTAGACTTGTATTTTCTGCATGGGGCTTTTGATAATATACATGAGAAAGTTCACTCTGACGTATAATCATTGGGGGAAAATGAAAACAGGGGCTACACATCTGAATGTGTGATATATGTAGTGTTTGTAAAAACTGAAACTTGGATTAAGAACGACTCCCATGAACTTTTATTTGGAAACAGTATATCTACCATTTCTGATGTGGGCTAAATCAAATCTTTTATTAATCAACATAATAGAACTGAACTTTAAGAAGAAAACCAATAGAGGGTGTGGAAAAGGAAGGATGGGAAAATGGTGTTAGCTCATGTTTATATCAAGCTGGAATCCAGCTGTAGAAAGGGAGGAGTGATGAGCGGATATACTTAGTAGATAATGGTCCTCAAACTTGTCAGAGATCTGCTGAATATGGCATTTAAAATGTTTAACGGGAGGCTGCCTTAAATGTCCTTCCCTTATAATGAGATTGATGATTACTTTAAATATCATCGTAAAACCTTCATCCAGTAGCTGTTGGGAGCAGAAGTAGAGATTCACTGCTAAGCACTGAGCCAAACTCCTGGAATCCAACTATAGAGAGGGAGGAGTGATGAGCAAAAGGGTCAAGACTATGTTGGGGAAACCCATAGAAACAGCTGACCTAAGCAAGTGGGAGCTCAGAGACCCCAGTCTGACAGCCGGGGCAACTGCATAAGATGGAACCAGGTCCCCTGAATGTGGGTAACAGTTGGGGGCCCATAGGACCATTGGCAGTGGATCCAGTATTTATCCCTAGTGCATGAATGGGCTTTGGGAACCCATTCCCTATGGAGGGATACTCTCTCAGCCTAGATACACAGGGGAGGACTAGGTCCTGCCCTAAAGATGTGTCAGACTTTGATGATCCCCCATGGGAGGCCTCACCCTCCCTGAGGAGTGGATGTGGGTTGGGGTGGGAGGGGGAGGAGGATGGGAGGGAGAGGAAACTGGGAATGGTATGTAAAATAAGATTGTTTTGAATTTACATAAAAATGTTTTAAAAGACTATAAAATACTGTTAGCTTCTGATTGTTGTTTGGGTTCTTTGGTTTGGTTTGGTTTTGGTTTTGGTTTTTAATTTTTTTTAATAGATCACCAATAGTAATATAGGGAATTCATTTATACTATGGACTTCATTTTCTCCAGGGTTGCTATCTTACATAGCTAGAATGCAAGTGAGAACCAGGGAACTGACATTGATGAGATCCATAGAATTTACTCAGATTTTGCCATTTGCGTAAGCATCCATTACTGTGTATGGATAGTGTACATATATGTATAAAACCATGCATAGTTCAATAGTATACACATTTTTAATCATGACCATACAATGTCTTTGTTTATATTATAAAAAATTTGCTAAATATTTTGTTAATCTGAAGTATAGCAAAACAGGATAAACAAAAATTTTTACCAGTGTTTGCCAAATTTGTGTAAATGGTTTGGTTCAATGGGGGGGGGGTTTGAGTGTTTGACTTACATGTCTCATTTGAATATACATGTGTATGTATGTAGATATGTCTACATATGTAGTATGTGAATTTGTATATAAGCACTTGCATTTTAATGAAGTATTTTGACATTCCCCTCTTTTATTGATGAAAAGTGTGTCATTCTCAATAGTATGTTTATGTAAAGAGAATCACACAAACGTATCCAGCAAAAAGGAAATCCCTTATCTCTGAATTTTCTTCCTGGTGCTTAAGATTCTGGTATCCTTTTAATTAAACGACCAAGTTCCTTTTTGTCATTAAACCCTGACAAAGAACATTTGTAAGACTTTACTAAGATGTTCTTTCATGAGCTTTCTCTGGACTTCTTTAAGTTCCTTTGGAAACAGCCACTTAGTACCTCCCATCCAGATGAGGAAATATTAGACAGAGTAGAAACGCTTGTCATTCTAATTAAACACCATGTTTTACTTGACCTCTGAGAGGCTGTCTAGTAATTTTGAAGTTATACTTTGGGAGCTTGATACTGTCTTTAGAAAAACAAATGCAAAAATATCATCTCACAGTTTTAAGCCAGTTCGCAGATTTAGTCATAGTTATTCGCCAGAGACACTACAGTATACTACCACGTTCCTATGTTCACACTGAATTAAAAGTACCAAGAGACACACTTCTCACAAAGGACTAAGAAGAAAATGGAAGCAGCAGCAACCTTTACATTGCTCAGTCATAGTTTACTCACCCTGGACAAGAAGTGACAGCATGCAAGTATAGGCTATTGACGTTCCTTCTGAGCCCCTGACCCTATTTAGGCGACTGTTTTACACAAGAGTGACGTCTTCATGGAAGGGTCCAGATGAATACGACCTAATGATAACGTATTTTAAACAAAAATACGTTCACATTCTTCTTGATTGTTTAGGGTATAAGGATGTTTATAAAGCCAGAGTAGAAAGGCATATACAACTTGTTTTGTAATTTCAGTCCCTAATGTTTACTTTTTCTTAATGTTGTACACTACAGAGGACCTCTAGCCAAATGTAAGAACTTCCTGAGAGAGTTGCATCTATAGCTCTTCATCTCCTGGGTAGCTGAAAATAGTATAACTTTGGTGAATTTGGGTGGGACTTTGGGTCATCATTCTGCTAGAGCTCGTCAAGATTGGCTGATTGGTCAGCTCTTGCCATCCAAAGCTCAAGCACTTCCATGGATTATCAGTGAGGTGTCACAGATTATCTTTCTTGTCCTTTCAGCAAAATGCCTACCTTGTTATTATCTGGGTAACAGTCTGCCAATGAAACCTGGACAAAAAGAAGAGGGAATGTGGCAAGTAGAAAAGTTTCCCAAATAAAAGCAGATAGCACACCAGTTCCCAGACAGAAGATTAAGAATCAGTAAGGCCATCTAAAGGGCTCAGCATACAGCCCTTGGACACTAAGCTTTCACTTGGGGAGTGAATATAAAACAATGTACATGTTTCTTTCTTTTTTCACTATTCATCAGGCTTTTCTGAAGCTCACTATAAAGTTCAGGGAAGCATGAAATTGAGATAGTTCTCCCAAGTGCTGAGATTACAGGCATGAGCTTACATGTCTGTGTTCAAGACATTGGCCGTTGACCATTGGCTACAATAAGTCTGGAGACTAACTCTTTAAAAAGGATTTGATTTTATTATCTTTTTAAATGTATGATTATTTATTTGTTACCCTTAAAGACTGATTTTTGACTGGACTCAGACTTAGAAGTAGAAGCTCTCAGCGAGGACAGCCCACGTCTTTTGGCGATCTGTTCCTGGTGCTTTCCTTTAGCTTCCTTCATTCTCTTGGCCAAAAGTTTAGCATATTCTGCAGCCTCCTCGTTTTTCTTTGTTCGTTGTTTCTTCAGAGCAATACGACGGCCATTTGTGTGGAATAACAAGATGATGAATCTTGGGTGCTTTGGTCCTGGGCTTCTTACCTTCTTTGCTTAATAGCTTTCTTACGCCATATTGGTGGACATCATCTTCTTTAGAGAGTTTAAAAAGCTTTCTGATTCTTCTAGCTAATTTTATTATTTTTTAAAACTTTGTCCCGGTGGGGGGCAGGGGCATATTCACATAAAAGTCATTTGTGAAGGCTAAAGATGTCATACTCCCCTGGGGCTGAGGTTACAGCCATTGTGAGCCACCAGACTTGTGTGTTAGAAACTGAGCTCAGGACCTCTAGAAGAACAGCAAGCACCCTTAACCACTGAGCCATTCCTCCAGCCCTGGAGATAACCCTTTTAAAGGACCTCTCTGAATTGTGATATGAGCCCAGCCACTGTTTGCATCTGACTTCAGTCAACAGCTCAGTTACACTCCATGAATATAAAATCCAGGCCTGACACATCTCACTGTACACTGCTGATTATTTCCAAACACAGAGATACCACCACCTGAAGTAACAGCTCTTGCTTATCTGAGCCTTGATGTGACCATGTGGTCTAGGGGAGAAGAAGATGGTGATTGGCACGGGGAATCCAAAAAACAAGAGGCTACTGCAAAAGGGTTTGGAGTGGAAGGATAGCCATTGGCCACATAGCAGAAAATGCAGGAAGGGGGCACAAGTGAGCTTTGCAAGTGTAGCTGTGGTTGGTGTTTATCGCTCTAACTGCAACACTGGTGTCATTCTAGCACAGCATGGCCACAGGAAACAACATTAGATTTGAGCCCATGACAATGAAGGTTTAAAAAAAAAAAAGTGTCAACCACAAAGATAACCCAATGAACATGAAACATTGGGTGGACTGTAAATACCACTCACTGTTTCCATGGGATCCTTTAACTGTCTTTCACTGGAAGACTCAGAGGTGGGGTGACCTGTGCGTGGAGCTAGTGAACGGGCAAAGGCTGAAGAAAAATTTGAAAGAATTCCTCGCACAACTCTACCGATGCTCTTCATAGTTTCTGACATCAGAGATAAACCAATGTGGTAAAAAGAGTTCAACTAATGCTCTAATAAATTTGTCATGTTGCCACTGATTTAAAAACAAATAAGGAAACACTAAACTCAAGGTGAGCAAAGTCCGTCACCGGATTGGAATAGGAAAAGTCCAAAACAGTGTTTCATAAAAAGTTGTTCAGGTCAGATGAGAAGAAAGCTGACACCTGGCAAAGTTTATTAAAATAGAAACTTTGAATTATAGTCTATGAACCCAAGTTTACCAGTCAGCCGTATGGCTACACCACTCTGATAATTTAGTATGCATACAACCTTAGATTAGGAAAATATTTTGCAAGTAGAAATTTTGTTTTTAGTTTTTAACACTGTAGTATCTCATTATTTTATTACTAATTGACAATAATTGTCGATGTCATGAATACACTGAAATGTTGTGTGGTGTGGTGGCTAGACCAAGTGTGTTTTCAATATGGAAATTGTATTCTAATTCAGGATTAAAAGGAACATATCCCAACCAAGGTACAGTTTTGTCAAGAAAGTCAGGTTTAGATAAAGTCAAGTCAAGCTAAAATGCACTGTGTTTGCTCTTTTACACACAGTATCCCTCACCATCTCTTCAAGGAAGCACAACTCAATGTCAGTAAATTCTGTTGTGCACCTGAAAATGTGAAGTTATTCGTTTAAAACTGTTTTAAGGTTCAGATTTTTCAGAGACAAGAAATGAAAATATCTTGTTTAAAAATACTGACCTAGAGGTAGAACTGCGGTGGCCAACCAAGACACAGACAATAACACATGGATCAGCTGAGGAAAACAAAAGCACTTGATATCACTCTGTGCCTAAATGTGCAAGTGACATCCTATCAACAATATGTCTCAAAATAGCACATTAAGGGAACATGTTTTATAGAGGGGAGTACATGCTATGCTTATCTTTTTTTTTTTTTTAAACAAACATAAGAAAAGGCTTAGCTATTATAAAGAAACAGAGCAGCACCTTCCTCTAGGGAGTGGCAGGGATTTGCTGGAACAGGTTTAGGAAATGTCTTAGGACATCACAAAACTCTGTGTTTGACCAGTAGTTTCCATATTCAATGAGTATTATGTTAAGATTTGTAAATTTATAATATATAAATATTACTTTCCAGGAAAGCATTGTAAACAGAGCATGAAACTAGTCGTTGGTAAGCATGCCCTAAGACTCTGAGGAGATTGTGTTGACATAGAGAAATTATTCTGAAATCTGCAACATTTATTGATGAACATTATTGATGAATCAATAATGGCAGTGAGATAGAGAGCAACGTGCTTATAGTAAAGCCTACAAGCTGTCCTCAGAATTTCATCAGTCTCTAAAGCTCCTCAAGCGGCTGAATTAAAAATAAATGCTTAATAACTGTGCAGGTCTATTTTTTTTTAAAAAAAATACTATAAAAGTATAAAATACTATACATAAAAGAAATGAAAATGTTGCAATTTCAGTTTGTAAATCAAATTACTTTACATGAAGACCTGACTTAAGGTTTTGTCCCTAGTTAGTTGGATTGGGGGATGAGACAGTAGAATGAGTTGGACTGTATATTGAAATCAAGCTGACAACTAATTCTAAAAGTGTTAAAATAATTCCAGTTCTTGTGTGGTCAGGTGAGTCGTTTTTTTAAATATAATATCTCTGTTCTCAGTTAACAATATATTTTGACACTTTGTGGCATGTATGCACGCACACACACATGTACACACCCACACATGTATACAAGTATGCTGAGCATAGACAAGAGTGTTTCCTACCGTACTACATAGCTCAAGCTTTTAAATGTCCAGTGGTTTAACCTGAACTCATCAGCTTTTTCTCATTATTTCATTTGGAAACCATTTATTATAGTGTCTTCTAAAACATATGCAATATGCAATAAATAGGTTAGCATACACATAGAGTGACACTGGAATGTATTTGAATATAATTTTATTTAGGCAGAGGCAAACATTTTCAATGTTTTCTTCAGAAAATAAGCATCCAAGAAAAAAGTTTGAGATGTTTCATTTTCGCATCTTCTGTGACCACATTGGATTAGATCTTCTTACAAATATATGGCAGTTTAGTATTACAGTTTTCAGCCATAAAGGCTCCTTTTAATTGAAAAGATGCACAATAGTGTTGCATATTGGTTTCAAGATCACCAAACCTAAAATGAAAGAAATTCCACTGTTACCAAGAAATTGCATGGCATTCAAATCCACATAACACTACGGAACTGTTACCCTACATACAAAATTTAAAAATCCAACCTGTGTGATTTCCATAACCCATAATTCATATTGATAAAATGTCAGCAAACTGCAAAGTTATCAAATCAGTATGGAATTGTAAATATTAATTAATACTTCAACTAAGAAGAGTCTGTTAGGAAAGGGATGTCAATGGGTTGTCAGGGTAGAAAGGGAAATTTAGAGAGCCCTGAACTAATCAGGAGGCTGTTCTTGAAACTTTAGAACTAAAGGATTTTATGCCAAATGAAGGCGTGCCAATTTATCTCCAGCCCAATAGAAGGAGCTGCCTGATCATCTAGCTAAAGGTATCCTTTCCTAGATGTTTGTTTCTCTTCTGGTAAACTGCTGGGAAAGTTCTTTCCTGACTGGGAAGAGAAATAAAAAGAGACTGCTGAAACTGATCAGAATGTTGGCCGATCTAAATGAGGAAAGACAGTGTCAAGTGTGTGAGGATAATGTTCATTTGCCTGGGGACTGCGTTCAGGGTCAGCTCTAGGAACATCGCCCCCTGCTGGTACTTTTGTGAAGTGATGGGTGAGCAGAAGACTATAAACACTACTCGGTAATGGTTTTGTTTTTATTTTTCAGTTTTTTTTTTTTTGGTTTTCCAAGACAGGGTTTCTCTGTATTGCTCTGGAAACTGTCCTGGAACTAGCTTTGTAGAACAGGCTTGTAGTGTTTTAAAAGTTAAGTAGAGAGTGAAAGTAAAAAAAAAAAAAAAAAAAAAGACAAAATGGTGAGCTTTGCTTCCCCAAAAGTTTCAAGTTTGCTTGGGTTTCAATATGCATGTGTTTCTGCGCTTTTTTTTCCATAATCTGTCCCACTTTCAAACCTCATAGACAAATCATGTTTGGATCTACAGATTCACACTGCAGAAGAGGCTTGCCTGGGGGTGAGTCAGATCTCTAATCAACTGAAAATTGGTGCTGGGATAATTTATCTCTTGGGTGCTTTTGGAACAGTGTGTGAATACCTTTGCAAATGAGAAAGATGTGAAACTCGGGGAGCCAGAGGGCAGAGTGTTTATTATGCTCAGACTCTGTCTGGGGGAGGAGTCCCTAAGAAATAAGTCAATTAGAATGAGGTCATTAGGGTGAGCCCTAGCGCGAGTGGCATCTTCAGAAGAGAAATTGGTGGAAAGAGAGAGAGGAGGGCTGAATCTAAGCTGAGGAGGGCTTTCCCAAGGTGGACCTGTTGACATCTTAGGCTTGGACTTCTAGCTGGGAAACTATAAGATGAGAATAAAAGTTTTTGTTTATGCCACACAGTTTCTTTCTGTTTATTAAGGAAATTTGTAGGGATTTTTCAGAGGAAAACAGGCGAGGGGTTAAAGAGATGTATCTGTCTTCTGCACATGAGATGTGTATAAAAGACTCTTTCTCCTCAGTTCTCTAATGGTGCTGAAACTGTGCCCCGGCCCCTTCATTCACACCATAATTTAACACCTGATGTTGGGTGGATACGTACAACTCAGAGGGCGGAACCAAATGGTTTTCCCACAGCCACTGTCTGCTGGTTCCGTTATAGTAAACGCCAACCCAAAAGAAACTCTTCAAACTAAAAAAATCCTGAAAGTGAGAAAACATGAACACATAGGATTCCCATCATAGTCTTTCCATCAGCTCTATGGACTTGCCTTTGAAAATGTCAACTCCCTCTGCATAAATTTCTCCTATGTCTGAAGTCTGCAGCCTCATCAAATGATGCTGTATTATAAGGCATATGTCAGCAAATGAAAGAAAAAAATTTCTGCTCTCATGGGTAGTTTTGGTTTGACATGGAAGAAAATGAGGTTAAAGGGTCTTCATGAGTTTCTTGGAGACTAACTTTACTCTGGTACCTTCATGTCTATAATAAAAAGACTCTCTATTGGGAAAGCACACAATGGATACTTTAACTTGATTCCAACATAATTGCTGGAGTTAGAAAAAATTCCTTCACATTGTCATTTGGTGTTCTAGACCAAGACACTTGCGCCATCTTCATGTAGGAGTATGCAGAGTTGTCATGCTTTTTCTGTCTCTGTGCCGAGATATTACTGAAAACAAGTATTTCCCTCTGAATTCATTACATCTATCTATCTATCTATCTATCTATCTATCTATCTATCTATCTATCTATCTATCTATCCGTGGTGTTGAGGATTGAACTTTAAGCCTCCACATGTATGACAAATGTTTTACCACTGAACTACATTCTTCAACCCCCATACTCTTAGAGAAAGGTTCCTGTTAAGTTGCCTTCAACTCACTCTGTAGCCTTGAATCCCAAGGATGTGGGATTTCAGGCCTGTGCCATCAGACCCAATTTCATTCATGAATGAAATTCCAAATACTGTTTTAGTATTTCTCTCTTTTTTTCACACAATACAGAAGTCCTCCCTATATCTTGCACATAAAAACTGAAACAAAAGATAGAAATGTGTTATCCTTCAGCCACTGGTCCAGTGCTAAACGTAAACAAGTGCTCATCTTAACCCAGTCAACCCCTTCAGAGTCCCTGTGCCTTGTGACCTACATCTGCAGCAACTTACCATCTCCTCCCTGTTTATCCTTATGAGACTGGAATTGAGGGACAAGCAGGCATGCTGACTCTCCCTCCAACTTAGGGTTTCCTTGGAGAAGTAGTAACAGCTGCATCTGAACCAGACCCAGTTCTCTGGGCAGGGATGATGAGATCCTAGGGAAGGGGTGTCTGTCACTCTACTGGAAATTCAGGCTATGATGCTGCCTTTCACTCGTTTAAAACAAAGAGCATGCACATGTGAAATACTGTAACAATGTTCTATAAAGACAACTAAAATGATTAAAATAAAAGTATAAACTGGAGACGTACTTTTTGCTTTATTTTTATCTGAACTTTAGGCCTTTTCTATTTCATACGCCATATGTCTGCTGAGATTTATTCATCCTTCCTGCTGAACTGTTAGTTTCCCTATGTCTATGGTACTTGGAGTGGAAACACGCCTTTGCATCATCATTAGATTCTTTCTTTGTTGAAAAGTTGCTCTTCCAAAATTTGTTTTCTTATCAATCCTATTGCCAAACAAAACCATGGAATCTTGCAAGACTGTTTATGCTGTATACAGAGGTATATAATAATACCAAAAATATTTCTGTATTCTGTTACAGTTTGTTATACAAACCTCTGTCCCACATTAATGTAAGTTGTTAAATTTCTGGGACCATGTCATATCTTTTCTTAGTTATGCTGAAGTGTAGTGCTTTTGAAGACTCTGTTTGCTATTTATGGAGTTAACACAAACAATACATATGTTTTGCCGACTGAATCTGTGCACAAAGACTAAGAAACCAGCACCTACCTTTTTGCTGGATCATGGGACGTGTTCTTTCAGAAGATACTACAAAAATAGTCCACATCATAATTAGTTCTTTCTTTTATATTGACACATCAATGGGATTAATAAAAGTCTCTGTTCTAGAATAGCAGTGGGCAATTTTAGAGAAAATGTTTAAAAGGAAGTAGGATTTTTCTATTTTTTGGTTGTTTTCTAGAGATAGTACTCTGAATCTCAGTGTCTCACATATAATAGACAAGCACTCCAGCTGTGCCCTTGGACAAAGAGATACATTGCTGCAAGTCTTCCCCAAAAGAGAACAGGGAGAGGCAATAGGGACACTCACAGTTTGTACTGAAAATGGTCACCGCTGTGACTACAGCCATCAGGAGAAGGCACACGGCACCAAGCACACTAGAGATGAGCCTCCATGGAGGTGAGAAATTCTCTGAGAAAGAGAAGCCAAAGAGTGTGATTAAAAGCAACTGGCAGTAGGATCAAGGTGATGGGACAGACAGGGTTGTCCCATGGGCTGCCATCCTCAGCATCACTGTGGGCTGCCATCCTCAGCATCACTATGGGCTGCCTTCCTCAGCATGACTAGGGCTGCCTTCCTCAGCATCACTATAGGATGCTTCCCTCAGCATCACTATGGGATGTCTTCCTCAGCATCACTATGGGCTGCCTTCCTCAGCATCATTATGGGCTGCTTCCATTAGCATCACTATGGGCTGTCTTCCTCAGCATCACTATGGGCTGCCTTCCTCAGCATCACTATGGGCTGCTTCCCTCAGTATCACTATGGGCTGCCTTCCTCAGCATCACTATGGGCTGCTTCCCTCAGCATCACTATGGGCTTCCTTCCTCAGCATCACTATGGGCTGCTTCCCTCAGCAGAGCATCCCAATGCTCATTTACTTCTGATTCTCCTACCAAGTCTGTTAAATATTTTTACCCAAGTTCCAAAGCAAATAATGACATGTTAGTAAAATGCCTGAACAACAGAAATATATTTACTTATAAAATGTCACATAACAAACGAATGTATCTGAATTGTTCCATGGAGCTAGTTTAAATGTCCTTAATTTAAAACAGAGTTCATTAGTCAATACAGGAAATACAAATGCCACAAGAAAAAAATAAGCCGAAAATATCAGTGAATAATTCACAATTTTTAAAATGCAGGAACTCAAGTAAAAAGCATTTAAGGCTAAAATAATCAGTTCATAGAGCTGAGCTTGTAATTCTTGCATTTGGTCTCCAAACCCTACTATCACCCTCTTTACCCTACAGCGGTTGTATGGGGAGAACTAAAGAAAGAGGACATTTTGAAACCTAAACGGGAAAGGATTGGTCTAGCTCTGAGTCCTTCCACGTAAAGGTGACTGCATTGTGAATTGGGAAGCCAGAGGGACATTGTTTAATCAGGCCTTTTCCCTTCCATATTTCCTGACTCTTTTCTTTAATCCAACGAGCATATGTCAAGGTGTACAGTGCAAGGATGGGACTTAGCAACCGAGTTGGGAGTGAAGGATGACACTGCTGCCAGCGTCTCCCACCACATCTGCCTGGTCAGCACCGACTCAGCAGGATGGAGTCGACCTTCTCTCCACCAGCAAACAGCCTGGGGCCGATTCATATACACAACAGACTCCAACTTTATCTTGATCCTTCAGTGCCACACAGCAGCTCTCTTACTCTTGGCCAGCTTCTCACATCTATTTTTTGTTTTGTTTTGCTTTGCTGCCAATATTCTATTCCCAATACTCACCACTGACTGGATGCAATGTCCCCGTAGAAGAAATCAACAGACACTAAGTGAACATTCTATGGCGGCAAGTCTCAGGGGCTCATGCTTCATTGCAACTGGTTTTTGTTTTCTTTATTTGGGGGTTAATTTTCAGACTACCTAAATTCCTATGAAAAATTCAATTTGCCTTCTACGCTCTCTGCTTTAACAGTATTCTTCACTGGGGATATCCCTGTCTTTAAAGAAATAAGGTGGCATTCTGGTTCCCAGCACTTAACCACTCAAGCATGGATATCTATCTATCTGCCTGTCTATCTGTCTGTCTATCCATCCATCCATCCATCTATCCATCTATCTATCTATTTATTATTTGAATCTGTGAATTAGCTTTTGCAAATTCCTAAACTCCCTTCCTCCATCTAAGCTTGGATCTTCCAGATATTTAGGTCTGAAAAAGACAAGCCTGTGGAAATCAGAGGGAAATTTCAGAAATAAACTATAACCTATAACTACACTAATATATGAAACCTTAACAAAAAACTAATTTTAAATTTGCTGATATACAACTTGTTTTGAGTTCCAAGTTTGAAGGAAATGCATCCATCTTCTGTATGCTTCAGGATATAATGAGATTAAAGTCTCCTGAGCATATCCAGAAACTCACCAATCCAACCAAATGCTCAGTGCCCAGAACAAGATTTCAAAACCTAGTGCCCTACATAGCTACAATTACTTTACACTTTAATTCCTAAATGATGTAGCCAGGGAATCCAGCCCGAGCATTTTTCACTTCTTAAAAGTTGATTTTTCCATTCAAGGCTAAAATAGCTCGTACTTTAGCCATAGGAAATCTAAACTATCCAGGTTGGTCTTCGAATGGTTGTGGTATTGACCATTACTTCATTTTAATGTGTTTATGTCTAACTAGATTTTAAAAACAGAAACCTTTCTGCCACTTTTTGTACCTCCCTAGTACTTAACAAACTTTAACCCTAAACCTTAATTTTCAAGTCTCTCTGTAACCACCAAATACAGTATCATACCTTCACCAGAGATGTCTTCTGCTGTGTTTTTGTGTTTCTTGCTATATTTTTGGTATTTTTGTCTCTGCTCAATGAATGACAATTCATTTGAATGAAATGTTTTCTTAATATTGTTCTTTGCTTTGCCCTTCTGCTGGGAGTTCGCATTTAGGATAGAATGGGTTGTAGGCACTTCATTCATCTCCATAAAGAGATAAAATCCTGTGTGGGAAAGAATGCAAATATGAGCATATTTTAATTTGTGGAGGTAAATTTTTAGTAAAAATGAATAAAATAATAATTCTAAAAGATTTTGTGTTGAGGAATCGATATGCCCATAAGCTTTCATGAATGCATGTCTTCAACTTTGAAGCCTGACATATATGTAGACATATTACCAAAAAGTTAGAAGTAAGTGAAATAAAATAACTTTAGAGGGAGTCAAGTGAATACAGTCAATTATTTTCTAAAACATTGTGGTACTGTAGCTCTAATCCAGCACCTTTTTGTGCCATGTATGCGCTTTTTGTTTTATGTTTTTTTAACCAATGGGTTACTTTCCCAGCATTTAGAGACTGTATAGAGAGCTATACAACTAGACAGACAGTCTGTCTAATTCTCCTGCCTTTATTTCCAGAGAGATGGTGATCTAGGCATGTGCTTTGCCAAATTAGTTCTTAGATAAATGTGACTAGGCTGGTTACACAGCCCTTTAGCACAGTGCTAACTTATCATGTATAAGGTGCTAAGTTTTATCCCTAATACCACAAAAAAGCAAAAAAGGAAGTGAGGAAGAAAAGAAGTAACTCTTGTCTTTAGTATAAACTAAAAATTAATTCAAACATCCACAAGGCAGAGGCAAGCAGATTCCTGAATTTGAAGCTGGCACTGGGTCTAAATTGCAAGCTCTAAGGCAGCCAGAGCTACATAATGAAACTCTTAAACCACACCACACACACACACACACACACACACACACACACACACACGTACAAGTAGATCAAAGACCTCAATATAAATCCAGTTACAATGAACTGGACAGAAGAGAAAGTAGGAAATATCCTGGAACTCATTGGCACAGGAGATAACTTCCAGAATAGAACACTGGTAACACAGACCCAAAGATCAATACTTAATAAATGGGCCTCATGAAATCAATAACCATCTGAAAAGCAAAGGACACCGTCGATAGAACAAAACAGCAGCCCATATAATATATGATGGGAAAAAATTCTCATCAACCCCACATCCAACAGATCACCAAAATATATGAAGAACTGAAGAAACTAAACATCAAAGAAAAACAAATAATGCAATTTGAAAAATGGGGTAAAGACCTACCCAGAGAATTCTCAACAGAAGAATCTCAAATGGCAGAGAAACACCTAGAGAAATATTTAACATCCTTAGCCTTCAGGGAAATGCCAATCAAAACAACTCTGAGATTCCATCTTACACCCCTGCAAGTGGCTAAGATCAAAAACACTGATGACAGCTTATGCTGACCAGAACCTGAAGCTAGGGGAACACTCCTTCATTGCTGATGGGAGTGCAAGCTTGTACAGCCACTGTGGAAAGGAGTAGGGCGGTTTCTCAGAAAACTGGGAGTAGATCTACGTCAAGACCCAGATAGACCACTCTTGGGCATATTACTGAAGGATGTTCAATCATACCAGAACATTTGGTCAGCTATGTTCATAGCAGCTTTATTTGTAATAGCCAGAACCTGGAAACAACTTAGATCCTCCTCAACTGAGAATAGAGAAAGAAAATGCGGTACATTTACACAAAAGAGTATTCTTCTGTTGAGAATTCTCTTTTTAGGTGATACTCCATTTTTAATTGGGTTATTTTGTTTCTTGATGTCTAGTTGCTTAAGTTCTTTATATGTTTTAAAGATCAGCCTTCTGTCAGATGTAAGGTTGGTAAAGATCTTTTCCCTTAACTGTAAATTAAAGGATAGCCATTCTACAGTCCACAGACTGGAGACAGGCTAGATAACAAGGAAGGCCCAAGGGGGGGACCATGCATGGGTCTCCCTAGGAAGAGGAAGTAGAAGAGACATCCTAGCTGGACTAGGGGAGGGTGGGCATGGGAACTTGAGTGTTTGGGTTGAGGGGTAGGTGGAGGAGGACAGTGATGAGAGAGATGACTTGAAGGAGGGGCTTTATGAAGTCAGCTAGAAGCCTGATGGAAAGAAAACTTCCATGAGTTTGCAAAAATGGCCCCAGATAAGATTCCTGGTAGTAGTGGATGCGTAGCCTGAACTGGCCATCCCCTGTGACTAGATTGGTGACTCACCCAGTTGTCATTGGAATGCCTATATTCAGTGACCGATGAAGGCAGATTCAGAGATCCTCAGCCATATATTGGGTCAGCTCGGGAGTTCTGCTGAGGAGATGGAGGAGGCATTGTAGGAAACAGGAGGTGTCAAAGACATCACAGGAAAAGCCACAGAAACCTCTAGCCTGGTTCACAGCAACTCACAGAGTCTGAACCAACAACAAGGAGGCTGCCTGGGACCAACAAAGGTCCTCTGCATATGTGTGATGGATGTGTAGCTTGGTCTGTATGTTGGATTCCTTGCAATGGGAGCAGGGTCTGTCCCCAGTGCTTTGGCTGGTCCTTAGGAACCTACTTCTTATACTGCAATGCCTTGCCTAGCATGAACACAGGCAAAGGTGCTTGGTCTTATGGAAGCTTGATATGCCAAGCTTTGCTGAAGCCTATGGGAAGCCTGCCCCTTTCTGAGTGATTACGGAGAAGGTGTGGACAGAGGGGAGACATAAGGGAGGAGGGGAACTGAGGGGAGGAGGAAAGGCTGTGGTCAGAATGTAAAATAAATAAATTAATAAAGGAAAAAGAAAATGTACACATAAAAGAACATAAAAAAAAACTTGTGAAAAAAATTTAAAAATCTATATTGTTACTCAAAGACTGTGATTCATCAAATGAAGCAGCCATTGGACCTGAGAAAAGTCAGTTAGAACTTTAGAATGAACTAATCTCCAAAGTTTCAAGGCACAAGCTCCTCTGAGATCACTGAAGCTCACACTGTGAAATCCAGGCAATGCCCCAAGTGATTTTCTGTGTATATATCTAGAACTCTCACTGTTTCTGGCCATAGCTCCTAGGTAGTTATAACACCTGTAATTAGAGTGTGGGGCTAAGATATGCTTTTTCTGCCCTTCATGAGCAAAGAGGTCAAGATCATGCTGGAGAAACTCACAGAAACAGATGACCTGACCAAGTGAGAGCATACAGATTCCAAAAGTAAAGCTGGGGAACCAGCATAGGACCGAACCAAACCCTCTGAATGTGGGTGCCAGTTAGGAGGCCTGGGCAGTCTATGGGACCTCTACCATTGGAGCCAGTATTTAACCCTAGTGCATAAATGGACTTTGGGAGCCCATTCCCCATGGAGGGATACTCTCTCAGCCCAGATACATGGAAGAGAGCCTAGGCCCTCCCTCAAATGATGTGACAGATTTTGAAGATCTCCCATGGAAGGCCTCACTCTCCCTAGGGCGTGGATTAAGGGTAGGATGGTGGGGGTCGGTGAGGGGCATGGGAGGATGGATGGAACTGGGATTGATGTGTAAAATAAGATTGTTTCTGAATTAAATAAATACATTTTAAAGAAAGATGCTTTTTTCACTGTTTCCTCCGGTGAGACTATTATGAATGACTCTTGTACTAAGTTAACATTTAAGCAAGTCCATATCCCATTAATTCAGTCCATGAAACAAGCAAACCAACAAAAACACTCAAGACAGACCAAATACCAAAAGAACCAAAGCTTAGAGTGGGAAAATTTAATTCCACGCTATCTCCTAATTTGGTTTTATATAGTAGAGGGTCGAACACTGACCAGAACACAGTCACTTGTTGGTGACTCAGATTTCCAGAAAAGTTTCACTGTGAAAAATTCACATGCCTGAAAGTTACTGTGCAGAGCTGGAGTTGGCAGTGCCCTTGCTTTGGCCTGTCATTGATTTCCATAGATTAGGAATATGAGCCAAATAAAATGAAACCTTGCTTCCTGGTGTACTCTGGTTAATGTTTGTTTTCATCAAAAATGTCTTAGTCAAGGCTGTAGAGGTGACTCAGTAGTTAAGAATACTGGCTGCTTTTCTAGAGAACCTGAGTTCAATTTCCAGCACCCATGTGGTAATTCACACAGGTGGTAATTCCTGACCCAGGCTCTCTTGAAGTTGCCTGGGGCACCAGGTACACATATGGTGCACAAACATACATGCAGGTATAATGCCCATACTTATACATCAACGAAACAATTAAAAAATGAGAAATGGCATTCAAGGAGAGTTATTTCCCTAAGGAAAAAAAATTATACTGATTATATACCAAATCTTCAAACGGAAATGCTTAAACATACCTGAAGCAAGGAGGAAATCCCAGGAACTTAGGCTAAAACTTTAATATGTGGTAGTCAGCAGTCTGGGAGCAGGGTATGTAAGACCTGGATGCCCAGCGAAAGCTTTGCTGCTTGCACACACGTCTCAGCCCCCACAGCAAAGTCCTCCCGGATGCTTTCCACTTCCCCTTAGCACCCACAAGATGGGTAAGAGCACAGCCTGGAACGCAAGTGACAACAGACATTCATTCACTGCTTAAAACTCAAAAGAGACCAGGCATTCATTCCCAGACACAAGTTGTGGATCCTACAAACAAAGGGGAAACATTGATAAGATCAAATATTCCTTTCCCATGAACATGTCATCACCAAAATTTTGTTGTATCTGTCTCTCTAGAGCCATAATTTAAACTCAATTGAGTCATAATGGTATAAGAAATTGTGTGTGTGTGTGTGTGTGTGTGTGTGTGTGTGTGGTTCCCCCCCTTAACCTTCCTTTGAACTTAACTAAATTTTACAGTTTTTCTTCCAGACTTTAACTGACTGACCATCATATTTTGAAAAGCATATACCTTTGGAGACTTGCTTGTGTATTCTTTCTATATCCCTTTGAGATATAAATCTTCTGCCTGTTTCTAGTTGTATATGGTAGCAATGTCTCTGTCAAAGCCGCTGGAGCCATTCCTCTAGTTCAGTCATTGAGAAAGAAAAGGACTCTGCTCAGCCTCAGGCACCACACGCTGGGAAACACACCTAAGCCATTAGCTGACCTCTTCCATAATGCCCTGGGATACTCCCCTTACTTACAGCTGTCTCTGTTGCTTCTGCTTTTTGCTTGAAA